TTTTAATTTTATGTGATGATATTTTTCCTACATGAAACAAATGGAGGCAAAAAAGAGGGAATGAGAAGCCTTTTCAAGACAATGGAAACAGCTAAATAACAGTACATGTTGGGCATGCTAAGTTTAAAAGGCATAAAGGATCATTGAAAAGGATGACAAAAACTACCACTCTTTGCTCGTTAAATTTTTCTTTCTTTCTTGATCTACTACCAATCCATTTTGAGATATTTATATATTGTGTAAAAAAGAAGTAGATTAACTTAAAAAGTGGAGTACAAAAGTGTGTAGGGTATCTAAAGATACCCTTTTAAAGGGGGAGATACCCTATAAGCTTCTATCAATTGTTTAGCCCTTTTTGGGTACAAAATGGCAAGCATATGCAACAAAGAGTGAGGGGGCCTTGGGTGATAGGCTTTTTTATTTTTTATTTATTGTGATATTGAGAAGAATATGAGAATTCAGATGGGATTTGTTGAACACTTTTTTAGGTTTTTTTATTTTTTATTTTTTTTAAAGAAAAAATAGATGTAAAATGCGAGATGAAATTAGGTGAATTTTTTTTCTCTTATTAACCCAATCATGTAATCTCATTATTATATTATGAGCAAACAAAATTGTTTTTCAGAAGTTAGGAAGAGAGTTATAATAGTGCATCTATTAAGGTCTAATAATGTTTGTTAGAGAGTATTTCCACATAGGTCCTGTTAACTACTGCTCAGTCAATTTTCACTAGGAACTGAATAATTTTGTTAAGTTAAAACCTCCATTCAAATTTCACATATTCCCATAAACTTTAACGTGTTTCATGCATTTCTTACATATTTCAGTACAATTAGTATATATTTACTAGCAGTAAAAGGAAAACTATAAGCAAATGTCATGGTTCAAATATCATCAATTATAAAAATAGGAATACTACAAATTCAGAATAATATATCTAGAATTTATCCAAAAATATTAACATGTGATTCAAATTCATTCTGCACATAGACAGGCCCGACCCTGAGATTGTCAGGAGCCAAAACCGATAATCAACTAATAAATAACACTAGATTATTTGGGATCCTTCACATATTTTTTTTTTTCATTCAATGAAAATTTTTTAATTGGTTTATTGACTTATTTTTTAATTGACCTTTTATAGGGCAGCGTGGAGAAGAATGATTCATGTAGCTGATCTTATTTGATGTGACTTAAGGCTTGGTTTGGTTTGGTTTGGTTTGGTTTTTATTGACTTATTTTGGGAAACAATTTGCCATCAACTGCAAAATGATTGAGTACTTCAATTGTTTTATTGACTTCTTTTGGCAATCTCTCTTTCAAGACTTTTAGCTCCCTCAATAAATCTCTTCCATCAATATCGGAAATCTCACCATGTTTTAAAAATTCTTCAAGGTTCACACACCCGCCTTCAACAATCCATTGCTGCAATTTTTCAAGTCAAACGAAAAGCCAAAGTTTGCCTCATATATTTTGAATCGTTCAAACCTATTTTTGAGTGAACATAGGGCGTGATCAATAAAATAGAAGTAACCAACTCTATGTTAGTTTGGGCCTTTTAATTTTGAATGGACTTTTTAATTTTTTAATGGGTCAATTTATTTTAAGTTAGTTTGATCATTCTTTAATTTTTTTTTTGACTTAAAACCTACCTAATATATTACACTAAACTATAATAGGAGGGACCCTTTTTTTAGATTTATTTTGAAGAGTCATAAGTCATGGCCTAGTGGGCCTATGCCCAGGGCCGGCACTGCACATAAACCCTACAATATACAATTTCAATCTACATCACACAACTCATTCTGGTTCAAAATCTAGGATCCTAAATCTGGTCCTAGACTTATTCATATAAAAAATAAAAAATTCTAAAAACAAGAACTTTAAACAAATATTTTTGTTTTGTTTCTAACAAGATTAAAGTTTTGATGAGCTCACAAACTACAGGATAACCTTCCCATTCCAGAAATCAGTTGGGATTCTTTGTCCAAAAGGGTATTTATCTTTATCTCTCATTATTTACAATTACATAATTTATTTATTTTTTAAATTAGAAATTAATTAAAACTCAGAGTGAATCCCTCTAACAAAAGATAGAAACATCAATGAGCTTTCATTGAAGTTGCAATTGACTTCCATACACGTTGTGCCTACTTGTTCTGAAATCTCGTAAATAAAGTCAAACTATTTTTAAAAATAGTTTGTTTAGATGCAACTTTTAATAATTTATGATCTAAGATTGTAGCATGGTCAAAGAAAAAATCAATTAAGATTAAAAGTTGGCTTATCAAACAAATTATTTCTTTATGAGGTATGATGTATGAGTTTGAGTCTTACCTATTATCTGATGATGTAGCTTCTCTTTTTTCTATTCGTCTGCTACTGATTGTAAAATAAATAATAATAAAAAAAATTCAATGGCTCTATTTAATTGGTACTACTTTTAAAATTTTTGTTATTGTTTTTCATGCTTTTGGAAGTAATGAAAATTTTAGAAATAATCAGCATTTTTGTTTTTGTGCAAAAATAAAAGATTTTACAATAGGGTTGTTTTTAGAAAATAAAATAGGATTTTCAATTAATTATTGCAATTCCATATGATGCTTTTTCAAATTGTAGTAGAGAGGAAAGAAAGGACAAGATAGAGTGGGAGAAAAGAATGAACCTGTAAGGAGGCTTCATCGGTAATAGAGCTTTAGCAATGTGGGGCTTCAATAGTCTGGACAATGGCATGTTGAAGAGATTCTGACGTGCATTTTCGAAAGTAATGGAATCTGGATTAAGGTTTCACAAGTGGTGATAAGGTATCGATAATGGTAGTGGTAGTCATGGTACGGAAGTCTTAGATGATTGTAGATAAAAATAATTGAGGGATTAAAACTCAAAGGGAAAAGGTTATTATATTTGTAGAAAGAGATTAAAGAGAGAGAGGAAGCGGAGAAAGAAAAAAGGATGGGAAAAGGTTGAAGGGGCAAATGAGGGTTGGAGAGGCACCGTCGATAATTAGAGGGGATGGGAGAAAGATTGACAACGGCGAGAAAGATTGAGAGGGATTACAAATCGCATAGGATTATAAGAAAGTAAGGAGCAGAATGGACAAAAAATTTTTTTTATGTCTGTTCTAATAATTTTATAAATTTTTTAATGTCTTTATCATTTTTTTTGGAAACTTTATATATGTTGCATTTTTTTTCTTTTATTCTCTCATTGAATTGTTCTTTCCATTTTATGGCAATTTTTTTTTTATAATTTTAATAATATAAAAGAAGAAAATACCAAAAATGCCCAATAAAGTTGATAACAACTATAATGTCAAATCACCCACCAATATCGATAGTCAATCATTTCGTCATTACGCCAAAAAATAAAATGAAAAATAATCCAATGTGAGCTGTAATTCTATTTTCTAAGCAAGCCCAACGACACCGTATTATTGATTCACCTCATGTCAGCTTTTCTAATTTACGTGAAGTTTTATTTTGATATTTTAATTATGTTTCAATATTTTTTTGGAGAATTTTTTTGAAATTCTCAATATTAAAATTTTATAAGATAACCGACATATAATATTTTTATAATAGTTGAGTTCCTTCAATATTTTTATAGAGAAAATTTAACATTGAAAAATTTCATTCCAATACAGTGAAATTTCTTTGGTATGATCACAAAGAAATTTTATCGAGGAACCTTAACTAATGAAAAAAATATTGAACTTCTCCTATTACCCAAAGTTGGAGATTAATGTTTTACTAATTTTTCTTTTTATTTTCCTTGCCAATTATTATTAGAATTTTAGATGAAAAAAGGTAATGTGTAACTCATGTGAGAATTTTAACAATTTTTTTTAAACAAAAATAAATAAATAAATTATACTAGTAACTTTTATAATTTGTTTTTCAAATTCTACTTTTATATATATATATATGTATGTATGTATGTATGTATGTATTTGAATTGATTGATTTTTATTTTGATCGGTCTAAATTCACCAGCATTTTTTTTCAATTCAAAATGTTAGGCCTAGTTTGGGAAGACTAAATAAGTGCACTTTTTGACTTTTTATGAAATATGGGTTGAGTTTGGGTTGGGTTTGAAGTGATGTATTAGAAAGGTGATGTGATTTAAATAAGATGATATGACTTAAATAGGATAGTGACTTTTTGACTTTTTTCAATCTTCCCAAACTAGGCCTTAATGTGGAGACCACATTAAAAAGAAATAAAAAGATGTGAGATCTAAATTAATAAAATTAAAATTGATTTTCAACAGCAGTATATGCATAGAAAATTTATTTTAAACACTCATCAGAAAATAAATTAATAGATTATATTTATTATAAAATCAACATCTATTAATATTAAATTTACATTTCACTTTTAAAATAAATAATTTTTCATAATTGAGTAACATTTTATTTTATTTTATTTTAGTGGTGCGTGCCATGAAAGCATTTTAAAGTTCCTTCGCGCCCACCCCAATAATATACATCCAACAACGTGGATCCTCATAATAACCAAAAACAACGGTCAAGATTAATTTCACACCATATTAAGCTACGTCTAATTGTACCTTATACAAATTCCATGGCCTTTCCCAGCAACACATCCGAATTTTCTTAGCTGTCGCTTCGTATTTTGAATATTATTTTATTCTTTACAATAAATTACAAATACACCTTAATCTACTTAAAATATAAATTGACTCATATAATTTTAAAAATTATACCATATTTTTTTAAGTTTTTAATGGTATAATAACTGACTCATTTTATCAACAAATTACAAAATTAATTAATAATTTTTTAAATATCATATATATATATTAATTAATAATTTTATTATTATATAAGAGAATAGTTTAAAATTTTATTTTTTAATTAATTTTATTAATTAAAAAATTTCTATTTATATAATATTTATAATTTTTTAAATTATAATTATAATTTATATTTTAAACAAATTAGAGGATGTATTTGTAGTTTGCCCCTTATTCTTTAATTGTTCAAAGTTCAAAATTTCCTATTGGCTGTGTTCTTCATTCTAGCCAATCAAAAAACGCTGCCAGAACCCCAATAAATAAATCTATATGTATATATATATATATATATGTATAAACCCATAAAACGCAGACTTTCTGAGTCTTCGTCATCTTCATCTCTCTCTGCGTCTCTCTCTGCGTCTCTCTCTCTCTAGTTATCACTTTCTCTCTCTAGAAATCTTTGTTTCTTCTGTAGAATTAGGGCTTGGTTGAGACTTTGAAGGAGGTTTCAATTGGTATACAATGGCTTCTCAGGCTCATCTAGACAAAATGACGGTTCGTCAGAACTATCGGAACCTCTGGCACACTGATCTCATGAGATCCATCACTGCCGATCCTGCTTGTAAGAATTTTTTATTTTTGTGATTTTTTTTTTGTTCTTTTTCAATTTTTTGTTTGATTTCTGATTGTGTTTTGTTCTTACTTTCAGATTGCTGTTTCTCGGCGCTCTGGTTAGTACTTTGATCTCTGTTTTTTTTTTTTTTTTAAATTTTTTTTTTTAAGCTTGGCTGTTGATTGTTGAGAGAAAGAGGAAAAGGAAGTTTGAATCTTATGCATTGTTGTTAGGTATCTGAGAAAAAGGAAGGAAAAGGAAATTGAAAGTTTTGAACTTTCTTCACCGTTTCACTGCATATAAAACAGTAATTAAAATAAATAAATAAATAAATAGAACTTTTTGAATGGATTCTTGTATTCTGAAAATAGGGGGAGAACACAGGATTGAAAATCTTCGCTCAAGATGGCCTGTTTACACTTATTTTGGTTACTTATATGTCATAATTTTTCTTTTGAAATTTGTTAATTAGTGCATGACATATTGTGTATAGTTCTGGTATTTTGTGGTTTTTATATTGAATCTGTTGTAATGTGCTTTTATTTTGTGCTTCGATCTTTTAGTGAATAATAGATGGATGGTTTGGTTTGGTTTGGTAATAGATGGATGGTTTGCAGTAGAGCATCTCCAATCCTTTCTCTTTCTTCATCAAATTTGAGTGAAAATTTGGTCAAACACTTGATTTGATATACAACATTCCAATCTTTTTTCTTTTCTTTTTTTAATCAAATCTTTTTAAAAATTCCAAACTTATCCTAAATATGACTCTTTTTAAATACCTGTTTTACCCATTTTTGACGAAAGAAAACCACCTCCAATTCGTACTCCTTTTAAAACTTCATCAAATCTGAGTAAAAATATGACTCTTGGGAATTTGGCTAATGATTTGGTGAAAAAATTGCCTTTCTTTTGATTTGATAAAATGGTTGGAGCACATGGTCATTTTTTCATCGAATTTGAATTTGATGTAAAATTTGATGAACGATTGGAGATGTTTAATCATTTATGTTATTTCCTTTTTTGGTAGTTTTTGCAAATAGGCATTCTACATCAGATAACAGGCTTGTTATTGTCAGAAATAGGTTTTTTTTTTTTTTTTTTTTTTTTTTTATCAGCCATTGTCAGCTATATTTTATCTTTGTGTGAATTCGTATAAATTGAAAGAAATTTTGCATGTTCAAAGAGAAGTTTTTTTTTTTTTTTATTGGGTTTTTTTGTTTCCACTAAATACTTGAATTGAATTAGTCAAACTTCTAGCAATGGGTAGAGCTATCTCTTTGGGAAGGAAAAGGAAATTAGCACTACAGAATAGTTTAAGAAGGATCTTGATATTTCTCCTCAACAACTATTGGAATAGGAGAGATCTCAACATCTTAATATAGACGAAAAAGAACAAGTAATGAAGAAGTGAGTGAATCTTCCTGGCACCTCTTTGGTTGATATTGCGATCCGACTCACCTAATCTGCCAGACTGTCTTTTAGTCCCGAAATTCTATCCCTATTTCCTCCTTTCTCTCTATATTTTGCTCTTATATGTCCAAAATCTACATAATAAAAGAAAATTGTCATTCCTTACCTATAACAAGCTTGAAATCTAACCACTTCTCACCATAAGCTATTATTTTCTTATTCAGCTTTGCTTGTTTGTTTCCGAATTTATGAACAATGAATTACTTGGAAATACTTTCCATATGTTAGTGGTCTTGCTACTAGCCTAATTAATTTCTCTCATTTACTGCAGTGCTCCCTGTGTATCTTACATGCTCCGCAAACGAGCTCTTTATGGTGACATGTCAAGGTAATTGATGTTTTTATTATTATTAGATAAAAAAGAGATCTTTTGCTGTTTATTGTTCTCAAGTGTATATATATATATATTTTAAATTTAAATTTTTTTGTTATATAGGTACACATGCTGTGGTGGCTATATGCCTTGCAGTGGTCGGTGTGGAGAAAGTCAATGCCCAGAACTTTGTCTTTGCACCGAGGTGAGAGCTTCATATGATCTTGCTCCTTATGTGTTTGATATGTTGATTTGATTCATCACTTGAACTCTACTCTCATTTGCTTTCGTCTCACTCCATTTCTATTAATTTTAATATCAATGTCTCTATCTGTCTCTCATGCTTTGCTCTATCTGTCCAGGTTTTCCTTTGCTTTGCAAATTCAGTTGCATCAACACGCTTCATGTTGCAAGATGAGTTCAACATACAGACCACCCAGTGCGATAATTGCATTATTGTACTCTCTCTCTCTCTCTCCCCGAGTATACAGATCTCATTGCTTAAATATCTGTGTCACTCATATGCATTGACTTGTTCTATAGGGATTCATGTTCTGCCTACAACAGTTAGCCTGTATATTTTCCATTGTTGCTTGTGTTACTGGAATGGAAGAACTTCAAGAGGCTTCTCAGATACTGTCCTGTTTGGCAGATATGGTTTATTGCACGTAAGACCTTTAATGCACCCCTGTCAACAACCTTAGCCAACAAGACTCAAAAATCTTGTACTGAATATACTGTTTATGTTGTTGCAGGGTTTGTGCTTGTATGCAGGTAAGTTACAAGATAATCAAAATAGCTTTTGTGTGTGTGTGTGTGTTTTTGGTTTTTTTTTACCTGAGCATTATTTTCTTAAGCAGCCACTTCATTTTGGACCTGTTTTTCTCAACAAAAAATTATTTCGTTGTTGTGATCCATCTAGTATAAATTTTTTGTTTTTGAAGTTTTCAATCTTTCACAGAAAATTTAATAGTAAAATTAGATGGTTAAGGTCATTTTTGGATAAATTATACTTTGCCCCCTTCAAGTTTTACAGTTTTCTCACTATGGCTGTTAAAGTTTATTTTTTCCCACTTTAATCCCAAATATTTGTAATCCAAATTTGCATAATAATGTGTGATTATGCCATGTGGCAGATGACGTAGCATTTTCTATCTAAAACAGGATGAAAGTTGATTGTTAAGAGTAAAATGGAAAAAATTAGTTATGTTAGGAATTAAAGTGGAAAAAAAATAAATTTTAAGAGCCAAAATAAGAAAACACTATTACGCTGTGTTTGGTTGGGGGATTTGGGAAGGGAAATGGAAAGGGAAATGGAAATGAAAGGAAAAGGAGAAAGAATTAATAGAATTCCAAATCCCAACTATGTTTGGTTATGTTGGTTATAAAATAGAATTGATGTCCTAAAAGGTATCCTATTTCTTTATTTATTTCTCACCCCCTTTCTTTTCCCATATATTTTTTATTATAACCAAACATAAATAGGATTACATTTCTCATTCCTTTTCCAAATCCCACCTCAAAAACTCCAACCAAACACAGCATTAAGGATTGCCGCAATCAAACCAAGTGGATGGAGCATCTCTGATTCTAAGTAGTTCCTGCGTGCAATTATAATTCAAATTGCAAATATTGTAATGTGACAATGTCTACTGCTAGAAATGATTCAAACCAGCATGAAATCCCTCCCTTATTGCATATGCATTTAAAGCATTACGAAACATTAAGATCTATGTTAGTTTCCTTCAAATCTGTTCACCATATTAAGATATGAATCAATTGTGCTCTGTTTTGATTATCCAGTCCAACTTTATCGATGTTGAATCATTGAGTTTGTTTTATTTGTCTTCTGGTGCAGTTGTTGGCATGTCATCTCACCGTTCTACGGGCTACAATGTTGACCAGCCTCGCAATCTTGCAAAGAGTGTTACAACCCAATGAGGAAGGTTTGTCTCACTTTTTTGAAGGGCTACATTGTTGACCATCTTCACAATCTCTCGGAAAAAATGTGGCAACCCAATTAGGAATCTTTATCCATAGAATTCTAATGCTCCTCACGTTTTAGAATATTGTGAAAAGCAGGATTTCCAACTGAACCCTTGCCTTCTTCTGGGCTCATAACCCCTCCTAACTTCTGTAATACAACTATTGCTTAGTTCTGTATTACCCAACTCATACAATGATTTTGTACCTTCATCATAAGTTGATTTCATATTATGTGGTTTTTAAATAATTGTAAGTCATAACCTGAAACTCTCCTTTTCTCTCCTCTCCTCTCCCCTCCTCTCCTCCTGTTTCTTTGTGACTCGCAAAAACAGTTAAAACATAGCTACTCACCCCTAGGGTCACTTTATTAGTAAGTCCCTTCTAATATTACTTTTCTACTTAAATTATCATCATCATCAAAAAAATAAATAAATATATAAAAACTACAAGTAAGGGTATATTTCTTAGAAAAATGTTACTCTCTTATAACATGATCTACAAAATCACCTCCGATGATGTAATAAGGATTGAGTTTTGCATGATTGATTTTTAAACTAATTAATAATTGATATGGAGAGAGATTGCAAGAGAGAGGATTGGTGGGGTGCTTGGTAATGGATAGTAGAAAAGGTTATTTGTGGTAATTTTTTCAATGGCCCTAATTAGAGGGTTAACAGAGCAGAGGCTCTAAATGCACCCCAAATTGTTGGTTGAACACATTATTTTTCTATTTTTTTATACAATTTTGTCTTTAAATTAAAGTTTTGTTTTGGGATAAATTAAAAAAGTTAAAAAGTTACTAAAAAAATTAAAAAGTCTATAGTATTTAAAGGTAGTTTGTGAAAAAGTCACTTTCCCTTTGAATTTAACTACCTAAATGTCAAAAAATTAAAAATCAAAAGAGTAAAATGATTATTCTAATTTTATTATAATATTTTATTACACGTCTTAACCAAAAATACTTTTTGAATCAAATAATTAAAAAATATACTTATTTATCCCTAACAACTACCTAATTTGAAAACCTTATTCTCACATCCATTAAATGTTTTTTTCATATGAAGTATAGATGTCGTCACGGTCAGTGGTCCAATGAGAACAGAGAAAGGAGAAAGAAAGTGGTGAGAAAAAGGCTAAAAAAGTCCCACCCACCAAGCGCAAGAGAAGACAGGTGTGCTTTAAACAGTAGTAATAGGTAGTTCTAGCGGAGCTATTGTAAAAACACCTCTACTGAGTTGGTAATAACAGAAAAAAAAAAAAAAAATGCAAGGCGGCAAAATAGGAACCCATTTTACCCCCATGACTCATAAGGAGTGAGCATGACTTAGATTGCAAGGCAATGAGCTCGAAATTGCAAGGCGGCAAAATAGGAACCCATTTTACCCCCATGACTCATAAGGAGTGAGCATGACTTAGATTGCAAGGCAATGAGCTCGAAATTGCAAGGCGGCAAAATAGGAACCCATTTTACCCCCATGACTCATAAGGAGTGAGCATGACTTAGATTGCAAGGCAATGAGCTCGAAATTGCAAGGCGGCAAAATAGGAACCCATTTTACCCCCATGACTCATAAGGAGTGAGCATGACTTAGATTGCAAGGCAATGAGCTCGAAATTGCAAGGCGGCAAAATAGGAACCCATTTTACCCCCATGACTCATAAGGAGTGAGCATGACTTAGATTGCAAGGCAATGAGCTCGAAATTGCAAGGCGGCAAAATAGGAACCCATTTTACCCCCATGACTCATAAGGAGTGAGCATGACTTAGATTGCAAGGCAATGAGCTCGAAATTGCAAGGCGGCAAAATAGGAACCCATTTTACCCCCATGACTCATAAGGAGTGAGCATGACTTAGATTGCAAGGCAATGAGCTCGAAATTGCAAGGCGGCAAAATAGGAACCCATTTTACCCCCATGACTCATAAGGAGTGAGCATGACTTAGATTGCAAGGCAATGAGCTCGAAATTGCAAGGCGGCAAAATAGGAACCCATTTTACCCCCATGACTCATAAGGAGTGAGCATGACTTAGATTGCAAGGCAATGAGCTCGAAATTGCAAGGCGGCAAAATAGGAACCCATTTTACCCCCATGACTCATAAGGAGTGAGCATGACTTAGATTGCAAGGCAATGAGCTCGAAATTGCAAGGCGGCAAAATAGGAACCCATTTTACCCCCATGACTCATAAGGAGTGAGCATGACTTAGATTGCAAGGCAATGAGCTCGAAATTGCAAGGCGGCAAAATAGGAACCCATTTTACCCCCATGACTCATAAGGAGTGAGCATGACTTAGATTGCAAGGCAATGAGCTCGAAATTGCAAGGCGGCAAAATAGGAACCCATTTTACCCCCATGACTCATAAGGAGTGAGCATGACTTAGATTGCAAGGCAATGAGCTCGAAATTGCAAGGCGGCAAAATAGGAACCCATTTTACCCCCATGACTCATAAGGAGTGAGCATGACTTAGATTGCAAGGCAATGAGCTCGAAATTGCAAGGCGGCAAAATAGGAACCCATTTTACCCCCATGACTCATAAGGAGTGAGCATGACTTAGATTGCAAGGCAATGAGCTCGAAATTGCAAGGCGGCAAAATAGGAACCCATTTTACCCCCATGACTCATAAGGAGTGAGCATGACTTAGATTGCAAGGCAATGAGCTCGAAATTGCAAGGCGGCAAAATAGGAACCCATTTTACCCCCATGACTCATAAGGAGTGAGCATGACTTAGATTGCAAGGCAATGAGCTCGAAATTGCAAGGCGGCAAAATAGGAACCCATTTTACCCCCATGACTCATAAGGAGTGAGCATGACTTAGATTGCAAGGCAATGAGCTCGAAATTGCAAGGCGGCAAAATAGGAACCCATTTTACCCCCATGACTCATAAGGAGTGAGCATGACTTAGATTGCAAGGCAATGAGCTCGAAATTGCAAGGCGGCAAAATAGGAACCCATTTTACCCCCATGACTCATAAGGAGTGAGCATGACTTAGATTGCAAGGCAATGAGCTCGAAATTGCAAGGCGGCAAAATAGGAACCCATTTTACCCCCATGACTCATAAGGAGTGAGCATGACTTAGATTGCAAGGCAATGAGCTCGAAATTGCAAGGCGGCAAAATAGGAACCCATTTTACCCCCATGACTCATAAGGAGTGAGCATGACTTAGATTGCAAGGCAATGAGCTCGAAATTGCAAGGCGGCAAAATAGGAACCCATTTTACCCCCATGACTCATAAGGAGTGAGCATGACTTAGATTGCAAGGCAATGAGCTCGAAATTGCAAGGCGGCAAAATAGGAACCCATTTTACCCCCATGACTCATAAGGAGTGAGCATGACTTAGATTGCAAGGCAATGAGCTCGAAATTGCAAGGCGGCAAAATAGGAACCCATTTTACCCCCATGACTCATAAGGAGTGAGCATGACTTAGATTGCAAGGCAATGAGCTCGAAATTGCAAGGCGGCAAAATAGGAACCCATTTTACCCCCATGACTCATAAGGAGTGAGCATGACTTAGATTGCAAGGCAATGAGCTCGAAATTGCAAGGCGGCAAAATAGGAACCCATTTTACCCCCATGACTCATAAGGAGTGAGCATGACTTAGATTGCAAGGCAATGAGCTCGAAATTGCAAGGCGGCAAAATAGGAACCCATTTTACCCCCATGACTCATAAGGAGTGAGCATGACTTAGATTGCAAGGCAATGAGCTCGAAATTGCAAGGCGGCAAAATAGGAACCCATTTTACCCCCATGACTCATAAGGAGTGAGCATGACTTAGATTGCAAGGCAATGAGCTCGAAATTGCAAGGCGGCAAAATAGGAACCCATTTTACCCCCATGACTCATAAGGAGTGAGCATGACTTAGATTGCAAGGCAATGAGCTCGAAATTGCAAGGCGGCAAAATAGGAACCCATTTTACCCCCATGACTCATAAGGAGTGAGCATGACTTAGATTGCAAGGCAATGAGCTCGAAATTGCAAGGCGGCAAAATAGGAACCCATTTTACCCCCATGACTCATAAGGAGTGAGCATGACTTAGATTGCAAGGCAATGAGCTCGAAATTGCAAGGCGGCAAAATAGGAACCCATTTTACCCCCATGACTCATAAGGAGTGAGCATGACTTAGATTGCAAGGCAATGAGCTCGAAATTGCAAGGCGGCAAAATAGGAACCCATTTTACCCCCATGACTCATAAGGAGTGAGCATGACTTAGATTGCAAGGCAATGA